TGGCTAAATTGTATAATTTAAAAAGATTTCAAGAATCAAGGTAATCCTGGACAAGAAGTATTTTAATTAATTATAAATTCATCATATGGTAAGACATTCAAAAACCTATTAAAACTGATCTTGTTTATAAACAAATATCTCTTAAAAATAATAATGGAGATATACAATATGACGCTGATAGATATTTAAATAAGAACTCGTTATTAGTCAAATCATTTTATGGTGTTGCTGAAAATATAAGATGCTTTGAATGTAATAAATTTTTTGATGATTTCTTTGTTCCAAATCTTATTGGTGTTCAAACTCTTACTATGTCAAAACGTATTATGAATGAAGTTGTGTGTTTAGCAGAAGATCTAAATATTCCAATTTATTATCAAGATACCGATAGTATGCACATATTAAAATCGAGAATTACTGAATTAGAAAATGAATATATTAAAAAATATAATAAAGTACTTAGAGGTTTTGATATGGGTCAATTCCATCCAGATTTTGATGAATTATCTGGAGATGTTATTAGTATTGAATCATATTTCTTAAATAAAAAGGTTTATTGTGATAAATTATCTAATGAGAAGAATGAAATAGAATATCATCTTAGATTAAAATGTATTTTTAATAATTTATTAAATTGTCAATATGAAGATCTGTTAGAATTATTTAAGAAACTATATGATTAAGAATCATTTAATTATAATCTTTTACAACTTAGACCATCATTTGAATTTACTAAAGATTTTAAAATTAAATCAAGATCTCAATTCTGTCGAAATATAAAATTTAATACTGAATTAGGTTCATTTTTTAAAAAAATATAAATGTCTCTTTCAAATGAACAAGAATTATCTAAATTTTATAATACTTATAAAAATAAAATAAAATATGCATATAATAATAGAGATAAATTATGTGGGATTCGTCCTAATACCGACTCTAAACACAATTTAAAAATATTTTATTTTGGTATTTATAATTATTTTAATGTTAGTAATAATAGAACACAAAAATTATTAGATGATATATATGTTATATACATTAATAATAAACGAAGTATAAATACAAGTATAACTAAAATGCAAGTTCCAACTGGTTATCATGAAATTAACAAATATTCAAATACACCCAAATCAAAAGATAAATAAATAATTCAATCTACAGAATTAGAATTAAATGCTGAAATAAGACCACAACCAACTATTAATCCACATGGTTCAACTACCACCATAGCAATTTATCCTAATACACAAATTATATTAAGAAAGATAGAACAATTAAACAATTATTTAATGTAGATATGAATCAATATGTTCCATCAATAGGAGGTTAAAACTACTGTTTGCGAACAACATTTTTGCTACTAAACCAAAGGTCTCTCAGCCTCCTGCGTACTGTTATTGTTTGTTAAAGCCATTTTTGTATTTTATGTTAAAAAATATTTAAATTTTAGGTTCGCAAAGTGGTACAGAGCTTCGCTAGTCACGCTCGCAGAGCGGTAGCAATTTAGTAGTCTGAATTTTAATTTTTTCTATATTAGAAATGCAGGCTGCTGACACAACACAAGAATTAAAACAAGAAGAATTTTCTAATGTTTTAATTAAAGAATTAAATATTAACAAGACTAGAGACGATGTTATATCTAATCTTATAACTATTGGTAATAATAAAGTTAAAACAGAAACTATTCTATATAATTTAAATAAAATTGTTAACGATTCTAACATTAGTAATGTGGATTATTCAGAAAAAGGAATACGTACAGATAAAGAATTAAAACCATTAAACACATTATTTTTGGATAATATTGTGGTATATTTTCCAATTCCAGATAAATTAATTAAAGATGTAAAAAATCTTAGTTAAAGATTTATTTTTTCAGATATTATAGATAACGAAGAGGAAGAACAAGAATCTAAATCTAAATCTTTTCCAAAAAAACTAAGAGATATTTCGAAAAATATAATATTCACTATTACAGCTAATATTAAAATGGTATTTAACAGTGTTGGTATAAATATAAATAAAGCAGATATTAAACCATTGTGTATAAAAAGATCTAAAGATATGTTACATCGACCATCTACATTTATACATATCCTTAAAATTAACTTAAGTTGTGCTAGTGTCCAAGATGTGTTTAATATGTTAACAGATAAAGACAAATTAAAATTCTTAAACGATAATAATGTATTTATACACGATATAGATTTTACACAAGATTTAAAGGAGTATTTAATAAAGACGATGTTATAAAACATTTATTAAGTGTTGGATTCCGAGAACAAGGAGACGATACATCTCCCTATAATTATACAGCCACAATATTAAATAATAGTAATACTGTTTCTAAAAATTGTTTAACATTTATTAGAACAACAGATTTAGTATACTTTAGATCCAAAGGATCTAATGGAACTATTCGATAAAAGTTTTATAATAAGTTTGTACAATCTATGGAATCTCCAAGTGTTAGAAATAAAATTGGATCCCATATAAACAATTGGATTAATAATCCAGAACCAATATTAAATAAAGCTATTAATTCTTCTTTAGATACAGGATTATTAAGGTTGGAGATGACATTCTATAGATATAATACAGATAAGGAGTTAAATAGAGAATTTGTAGAAGAACAGATGGAATTCTTAAGAAAACAAATAAATCCTTCTCTTATTTATTATAATTCTATAAAAACGCAATTTAACCTATTATGTAAACACATTCTTTATAATGTGTGTATATTAGATGTAGAAACAAAGTTGGCGTTTGGTACTATTTACCTAAATAGACTTACTGGAAAAGTTAATGAATTCTTTATTAAAGATTGTAATAATGTTAAATTATCTAATGCATTAAGATATTATTGTAGTAATAAACCTATAATTGTAATATTAGTTAATATAGATGTAGATAATAAAAAAGTTAGTATACAACAAGATAGTTATATTAGAGTAACCACAAATAATAAAGATTTAGAAACATATGTTACATCTGATTCTGATAAATTACATACAGCTACTTATAAAGACGATGCTTTTAGTAAACAACCAAAAGAAGTTGGATTATTACCAAACAAGATATATAATTTTAAATTATCTAAGAAAACCATATTTCTAATCAAAACAACTAATTATACTACAGTATTTAAAGAATTTAATATGGAATTATTAAACTATCCAGGAGATAATTTAACTATAAGAACAATTAAAAAAGAAATTAAAGAACAAGAATCAATTAAAGCTTTTAATAATGTTAATAAAGATAAAATAGTAAAATTACATAATAAAAATAAAGAAATAGAAGAAAAAATAGAACAAAGTAAATATATGGAAATGTGTAGAAACAGATAATATGGTATTCTTAAGAACTGTAAAGCATTTTTAAAAAGTTTATCGATTAAGAAAATAATACTACATTATATGTTTATGGTTTTAAAGAAACAAGAAGTAGATTTGGAGACACTTTTTTATTGGCTTGTTCTAAAGATCTTATTTTAACAGAAGAAACAGAATTATTCTTATATTGGTCCACATCCAATTAAACAACATATTTAAATAGAGGCAAGAATTATTATAAGAAATTGGATATATATATGGTATTATAGCTAGAGGTTCTATAAGTGGCAACCCAATATTAACAATATGTAAAATTGGTACATTTACATCTTCTTCAAACTTAATGTGCTAAAGTAGAAATAGTAGAAGCTAAAACCAATAAAACAGAAGGAATACAAAAAAACTCTTAATAATTTACAATTAAAATAATTACCTTATTTAACATTAAAGGATTCTAAGAAATTAAACGAGGAAGTTAAAGAAGGAGATAATATTAATATAGTTGGATATAAATTATTAAAGAATAGTGAATTATAAAAGCAAAAATAACAACTAAAGATGGAATTACTAAAGAAGATAATTATTCTATATCTTATTGGTTAAAACAAATTGTAAGAGATAAAGTTAAAAATAAAATTGCTTTTAATGTTATAAGTGGTCCTTATAAGACTACACCATCTAAACATAAAGCAAGATGATATAAATAATAAACTAGATAACAATATTTCTATAAATTCTTTATTAAGATAATTGTAATAAATGGTTTTATATTTTTGTAAAAACATTGTTGAAAAAGTATAAGAATATTTTCTTTCTTTTGTGGAAAAATTATATGTTTTGTTTCTTAATGTTTTAATTGTAATATTTTCTTCTATGTTTTAGATTTCTAAACTATTATAAAAAACTTTAACCATTTTAAGGAAACAAAAAATAAAAAATATTTTGGAAGCAAATGGTATTAAATTGGAACAAATAGTAATAAATTAAAACAAATGGTAATAAATACTCTTAACATGTTTATACATATTTGTATTTAGATGTTAACATTATTTTACAAAATATCTCCCTTAAAATAAATTATTATATACTACCTTTATTTTTAAATTAATATTTTAATCTTAAATACAAAAATAAATTTTACCAAGAATATGGACCTCTATTTCGTTAAAGTAGCGAAGAGGTAGTTTGCAAATAGTAGTTTAAGCTCCCTATTGATTGTTTAGTTCTGTGATTTGAACACATTTCTTTTTAATAAGTCTTATTATTTCTTTCATCGCAGATGCCATTTTAGATAAGAAAAAAAAATAAATTATCACTTTAAAATAATAATCAAAATATAATTTCTTAAAAATAAACATGTGTTTTTGGACCCTATATTGTGTAGTTGAAGCGGGGGAGTACTTCTCCAAAAACGACACAATATGTATACTACTCCCTTAATTTTTATTCACCATTAGATTGAAATATGATAATAAAAGAAATTTAGTTTTTATTATTATTTTAACAACTATAACATTATGGAATATTCAAAAACAATTTGATGTTTCAAAAAATTAATGATTGGAAAAATTCATTTTTTCCTTACATTTAAGTAGTTATAAATAATAAAATTATTACAAACAGAAATACAAATTACCACAAAGTAAAATTCTATACCTAAACTATTGTGTTCATAGTAAACAATACAATACAAGTTGATAATAATAATGTTAATTAAATATACTAAAACAGTAATAACCTTTTTTAAAAAAGCAAATTAATATACTTATTGTATTGTTGTTAAAGATGTTTTATTATTATTGAATAAGAATTAAAATTATATAACATGTTTTAAACTATGATTCTTGTGCTTAAATCTTTTATTGATTAAAAATTAATTATTTTATAAAAATTGTATTAACATCATTAACATTTCTATAGATACTTATTATACAACAAATTACAAATAAAAACTGATTTTCAAAAGATGCATTCTTTGAAAAACAAAAATTTATCCTATTTAATTATAGTTTATTATATTATTATAAGTCTTTTATGTTTTTAGTGTGACATTGAAAAAAAATATTTCATTAAAGGTTTCAGTTGTTTCTCTGAAACACAACATTGCGACATACACATTACAGAACAAAATGTTCTATCCCAAACATGGAAATTACAAGTACACCATTGTTTACTTTAAATCTCAACAAAAACATTTTTTTGAATATGAAAAAAAAACGTGAAAGGGGGTCTGAACCAAAGGTTCGCTTTATTGGTTGAATTTGAAAACCGAAACTGCCAACCTTAAAAATATTGCATCAACACGTAATTGAAATGTCTCTCTGACCACTCTTGAGATAAATGTTGTGTATTAGAGAAACGATTGTTTAAATCATGTTTAAAAATGTGTTTTTTTTCAAAAGGGGTGTGAAATAAACATACATTTGGAGGGTATTCACTTAAAAAAACAAAAAATAATAAAGAGTGGGGAAAAAGTAACACCAGGGAGAAAGCCACACCATAATTCTTTTCGATTCTTTTTACTCAAAAGAACTTTCTTTTTTATTCATAAAATAAATTCAATAAAAACGGTGTTTTGTGTGATTTTGGAATCGTGTTGTTTAAGTTTTACTATTTTTCTTTATGTTGATTGCAATTATTTACTCTTTTTTAAAAAAATAAAAGACTATATTAAAAAAACAAATTTTAATTATTAATTTTATATAGTTAATTTATAATAATTTGATGTAATAAGTTTTATTGTGTTTCAAGTTTAATCCAAGACAAATTCTATTTAATAGTTAATAACAAATCGAAAAAACTTAGATATCCTCCAAAAAAGCAAATATCTTTTTCAAAGGATATGTATTTGAACATACATATCTTACATACACGACATTTAAATAAATTTAAAAATTTAGCGTTAGATACGTTCATATAATTACATCGTTATTGATATATCACTTAGTTTTTATTACACATAATTAAATAAAGTAAATTGATAATTGACACTTTTGAGACCATATTTGTTTTACCACATGTCGATGTTTAATCACAATTTGATATGCAAAACTTTAAAAATATTGTGCTGAATAAACGCACTTTAAAAAGAACTATAGTTCAGTTACAAACATTCAAGATACAAACAACAATTATAACGATTTAAGGTTTTTTAAAAATTCAATTAAAATATAAAACCATGTAATTTTATCACCAAATAAACAACTTTTTCAATGATAATTGCTGAATTTTCCCGTTTTTTTACAAAATAAACAAACCAATTTTTAAACCAAAATATTACAACTGAAACACAAACAAATTGAAAATATAAAATGTATAAAGCCTTTTTGAACAATATTTCATTTATTTTGCTTTTCCCAAATCTAATAACAACATTCATTGATTATGAAAAAGCCTTACCATAGATCAGAACCAACCAAAAAATGTGTTATACAGTTATTGATCCAATTAAAAATGATAAAATCGGAACTTTTTGTAAAGAAAATGAAACCGAAATATTAAACAAAAATGATTTAAGAGAACAAATTATTTTCATTAAAGATGCCAATACAACATTTTCAATGGCATCAATATCAAAAGTACTTGGACGTAATTATGAAACATGTAAAGACTCGCTAAAAAGCCCGAAGTCCAAAAACCAACAGGAAGAGCTCCATTAATTACTGAAGATGCAAAGGAGAAAATTGTCAAGGAAATCATTGACAAACAAAACACCACAAGACCAATGGACTCTGCTGCAATTTGTAAGTTGGTCGGTTTGAAATGTGTTTCTGAGTTGAGCAAAAAGCAGTC